TAAAAATAACTTACTCCCTTTAGTATTTTTTGATTTTTAAATAAAAAATATAGTTAAGTTTAAATTACAGTAAAAAGTATAATTAAATACCGATAATCAATAAAAATAACTTACTCCCTTTAGTATTTTTTGATTTTTAAATAAAAAATATAGTTAAGTTTAAATTACAGTAAAAAGTATAATTAAATACCGATAATCAATAAAAATAACTTACTCCCTTTAGTATTTTTTGATTTTTAAATAAAAAATATAGTTAAGTTTAAATTACAGTAAAAAGGATAATTAAATGCTGATAATCAATAAAAATAACTTACAGTCTAAATATTAATTATTTTTTTAGATAAAAATTATTTAGTTGAATTTAAATTTTATTATAATAAAAAGTATAATTAATTAATTAAAATAATTGACTTTCTGTAATATTATTAATATATTAGCATTTTTGGTTATATTGTAGTAAAAATTATAGTTAAATTTATTAATGAATATAACTTATGTGATACAATTTTTAAATAAAAATTTAGTGGGCATAAATTATTATAAAATTAAAATTAAATATAATATACTTCATAAAAATAACTTACTAACTAAAAATATTATTAAAATATTTTAAAATAAATTAGCTATGTTTAAATTGTTATATAAAATATTATAGAAAACTTACTTCCTATAATACAGATATTTTTAATTAAAAGGTTTAATTTAATTATATATAAGTTAATACATATAAAAAAATAAATAACTTACAAGCTATAATATTAACATAAAATAAAAAATTAAATTAATAATGAATTTTAGCAAATACATAAACATTTTGCTATTACCATTTAAATCATTTAAATCTTTGCTTGAAAATTTGATATTTTATTAATTAGAAAAGAATTATTAAATTTAATCCTTAATATAAACTAACTTTATACTCAACTTATTAACTACTTCAATGGCATTTAACGTTCATATGTCATTTGCTTTGATTTCTAGTAATTTTTTTAAATCTGCAAGTGATTCCTCATATTTTCCCATCATACAAAAAGTTTCTCCTTGATATCTTAACGCAAATATATTATTTGCTTCAAATTCCAGCAACTTTATCAAATCGGAAAGTGCTAGTTCATATTCACCTATGACAAAATAAAGCTTTCCTCGGTATTTAAATATGTGTTTATTATCTGATGATTGTTTTAAATCTGCAAATTTAATAATCTGTTAACTTATTAATTTGTCATTATATAGATTAAGAATTTCAGCCCAATTCTTCTTTAAAGATTCATCAATATCATCATCATTTATCACTAAAAAATAATTATTATTAATAAAGTAAAGAAAAAAAGAAACTAAATAAATATACCTGTATATTTGAACTTTTTATAGCCAAAGTTTGCTCTTACAGATCTACCTGGTGACAATATTTCAACACAAGGATACAAAGTATTTTCTAATTCTCAGAATGCAATTCCTTAAAATAAACATAGATATTAAGTCTCAATTATTTAACTTAAATAACCAAGCATTTGTAATATGATAATAGCTACCTAGATTCACTCCATTTTTTTGTATAAAATAGCGTACTATTTCTAATGTTTAAACAACATCTGATAGTATTACGGACTTAAATTCTGGTCCATATAGTTGGCCAAATTCAGAGTCAAAAAACACATGTTCATCATCACTATGATAACCCCACGAGCTGTCTTCCCAGCCTACAATATAATAAATTCATAAATAATTTATTAATAAACTAAGCTGATAAAAAGATGTGTAAAATTACCTGGCATTTTATTTAGGCTAGCTGATTTAATGTTAATCCCCCTATGTAATTTGAAAAATTGAATTATCAGCAAATTTTAAATAATCAACTTATATATAACAGAAAAAACTGTATTACAAAGTTTTATAACACACCCATTTTCTCCTTTATTTATAATATCAACTTCAAAATAAAATAATCCACATTGTTCAGAAATTGGAAAATTTGCTCGATGCAGCACAGTTTTTTTCTCCACCTAGACCTTTATATTAAAAATAATTGTGGTTATGTAAGAATAAGTGATTCTATACAGAAACAGTATAATTGTTACATAACGTAAAATGTAAAATTCACCTGTATAAGTCACTATAAGTTTGTCTGAATCTATTTTTAAAAGATTATGTTCAATACTCCATGCGGTTGGTGATTCCATATTGTTGTGTAATCCTATTAGCAAGAATGATAATAGAGTTTGTTTAACATATGCTTTTTACCTTCTTATGTAAAAGTTAAATGCTGAGAATAAAATTTATTATTTATTTTATTTTATTTATTTTTTTAAAAAAAAATAAAAAATAAAAAATTATTATTTGACTTAAAAACAAATAAATGTTCATTACCATAAGAAGTGTCTGAAACAGGCTCTATCATAATATTGTTGAGAAAATTTTTGAAAAATCCTTCTAATGTTTTGAACAACAATTAAGAGTTGTTAAATTCTTATATTTCTACAGTAAAGTACTTAGTTAATTACTTATGTATTTACCTTCGTTTCTTGAAGCTTATTCCATTTTTAAATTTAATTTTTAGTGAATAAAAATGAGTATAATAAATAATTATTATCATATTTAAATGTATTAATAATAATACATGGAATTATCTCCTATTTCTTCTAATGAAGATGATGCTTCTATATCATCTGAAAATGACACTGTGAATTTATGAAATAATTTTTTTTTAGAAATCATCTAACCGTCAAAAAAACTTATTTGAGCTTTTTTATGTCTGTTATTTTTTTTTTGTTAGAATTTTTTTTTGACATTCTATTATTCTTTTACCTTTATTGTCACTATTAGACATCGTTAATATTTGTTAAAGGTTCTTTAAAAAAAATAAATCTTTTTTAAACCCAAAAAATTATTTTGTATAATGATAACGGAATAAAGTATAATGATAAGTGATACATATTATCAAGAAATGAAGATCTTACCGCAGTATTTCAATTAAATGCTACAGTAAATATTAAATTTTATCATACATAATTTATCGTAAGTTTGAATGTAGAAACTTAATACACATGCCATGAATATGGGGCCTTTTCAATAGAAAGAGGGGAAACTGCCGGGAAACATCAAATTTACTTTATATGCCAAATATGATTTTTAGGCCGAAATATGTTCAAATTTAGCATTAACTAATTTTTTATTTTTTCCAGCAGTTTCCCCCTTTCTATTGCAAAGGCCCCATATAATAAATTCGGACAAGATTTATATCACTGACTATATACTGAAAAATTTTTTTTTAATCTAATTGGATAAAAAATATATCATTCAATAATTTTAATTTATATAATTGCTTCACATAATAACCTAATAATTCATTTTGAATATCTTATGATAATTATAAAGAATGTCACGAAAATTCACGTGATATCATTGCATTACCAATGCGATGTCACACTTCTGTGCTCTATTCATCAATCACATGTGCGTCACAATTAATTTCAGTCGAATGTCAGCCTGCCATTATTTTGATGGCCAGAAAGAAATAACTGTGCCTTGATTATTTTTGCTTTTCGAAATATGGATTGTATGTAATTGATTCCAATTATCAAAGATCGAATAAAAAAAAATCGAAAATTATTTTATTTTTTTATTAGAAAAAAAATTTTTTTTTTATTGAGTATGCTTTTGACGATCTTCAATAATAATGCAAAATCTCTATTAATATCATTGAGATCATTACAGGGAATATAGAAGCCAGGGAGGAAGAAACCAGATACGTACCTTACTGGTCCTATATATAAATTGTATTTTTTTTTATTTCGTTTCGTATCATGTACCTAGACTTATATTTTATTTGTAACAATAACGTATTTTATGACTCAAAGAATAACCCTAAGGGCCCTGCAGACTTGGTCTGTGCCACAATGCATTATAAAAAATTTCGATCAGAAAAAATTTATTTTTGAAACATACATTTGCATAATGAAAAAATTTATAATAATAACGGTTAAGCAGGTGAAAACTTTATTTATTCTCGTTATAAAATTTAATAAAAAAATATTAATGCAATAATAAATTTAACAGGGGATCTTTTTTTGTCATTAATTGCTACAAATGAAATTTTAGGAAAATCTTAATACTATATTTTGTAATTCCCATAAATCCAAGTAATTGTTCCAGCTGGAACGCCACTAAGAGAACCATTAAAAAGTTCAATGGCAGGGATATGCAATTAATAATTTGGAATACCATGCAGTTGTTGAGAAGTGGAATATTAACAGAATTTGTAAAAAAATCTATTGTATTATAATGGAAAGGTGCAGTATCAAAAGATATGATGATATCTGACACTGTATTATTTTGATTTGTACGTAGGTAACTTAGTGTAAGCATTATCTTTGCACCATCCTGACGCTTGAAAAATAATTTGATCGCAATATAAATTTGAATGGTTGTTCGTGAAGAAAAATAACCTGTCGAAAGACTATGCAAGCTAGGAATAGTCTCAATCCTTCCAACCTCAACAACCAATGTTAAGTATGCGAATTAGATTTCTAGCCAGCTGGAGTTTTTGAAAGGCCTTTTGGTCAGATCAGCAGTATAATAACTATTCAGTCCCACAATAAGATCCTCTATACTTGCGCCAACTAATTGATTATTTCAGGAATGTATCAAGACTGCAATTTTGCCTGCTATCGCTCCATAGGGTGAGAGGGGTACTTCATAAGCTATAATTTTTCCATCGATCAATGCTAACAGGAAGTTTTCACTTAGTTTCACGATGCTTAATGTAGGATTTAAGTGACACATTTTCCTTGATAATTATTGGCTACATATCCTCGTTCGCATCCATTTTTTCCTCTTGGGATGCAAGTAAGATATTTCTAGCTTGATTAATACGATCTTTTCTCAACCGAAGTATAGTTGATTGCATATTATGGCAGCAACTAGTTCAGGCAAGAGAGATTATATTTTCTTTTTCTTTTTTTTTAATTGTAAGTTGGTGGTTTAGGATTAAAAAATGGATAGGAAAGCAGTTGCATATATCTACTCACCTCCGGATTAAGGCTTGCACTAGACGACTTACAAAACTGTATCATATTATAGACTTGGCATTTTCATTCTAAAAAGATATTTGAGTAATCTGATATGATAGATCGCATTGTTAACTCATATAAAGTTTTTTTTTAATCTCCGCTCTATCGTTATGATAAAATCACTTAGTCTTAGGAAATTAACAATATTTCGAAGTTCAGAAGTTATTGATAATAAGCGCAAGTTTATATATCCAGCCAATCAAATTACCGATTAAATAAAGTATTGATATATCTGAAATAGGGGTTTTGCAGATAAGAAAATTAGTTATGAAAAAAAATATCTATTCTTTTCAATCCCAAATTATATCTAGTATAACAATAATATAATGGTACATACTGCTGAGGTAAATAATAAATTTTATTATAAGTTTGTATGTGTAGAAACTTTACTATATCGATAATTGAATTTAGACAGCATAAATAATTAAAATTATAAGCTGAAAATTTTTTTTCAAATTTGATAAAAATACAATTTTTTTAGGTGGTTTCAAATATCCTTAAAATTATTCATTTTTTTTTTCGTCTCATCCTTATGATTTTTTTATTTATATTTTTTCAAATATCTTTTTATTATGTAAGTAATTAATAATTACGAAGCAAGCAGTACTGAGTAATTATTTTTTATTTGCAAATAATCTGCTTATCGAGATAATTAATGATGGATCTGCAATTTGACTAAAACTTTTCTCAATTGTAGTTCATTAGGCACAAAATATGTAGATTTAAAACTTATCGTTCTTAATAAAAAAATGATTGCAAATTAGGTAAAAGCTGAAACTTAAATTATAACAGACCTAATGTAATATGACGTTAGTCTTGAAAATAATGATCAAAGAATGCGTATTGCGGCAAATGTAGTAAATAACATATATGTTAATTATGGCAATCATGTCAAATATATAACATTTTCGTATATTTCTTTATTTTATTTAGTTTATTTTATATTTATCATTTATATTATTTGTATTATTTATTATTATAAAAATGCGTAATTTAAATTTAGTATATATATGCTGAAAAAATTAATTACAACAAACCTTATAAATTTTTCTTTCACAGCTCAAATTGTTTTCAAAATTGTCAAGGGGTTGGACTTTTGATTAAAAATAATCTCTGTTCATCAAGGCTTCTACTTTGATCGTATTCTACATTTAGACTTTCAATTTAAAAACAAATTTAAGTTACGTATTATTCAAGTCTATCTCCCTGCAAG